CTGGAGTGCAATGGCGCGATCTCGGCTCACCGCAACCTCCGCCTCCCGGGTTCAGGCAATTCTCCTGCCCCAGCCTCCTGAGATTACAGGCACGCGCCACCATGCCCAGCTAATTTTTTGTATTTTTAGTAGAGACGGGGTTTCACCATGTTGACCAGGATGGTCTCGATCTCTTGACCTCGTGATCCACCCGCCTCGGCCTCCCACAGTGCTGGGATTACAGGCTTGAGCCACCGCGCCCGGCCAAAGAAATTCTTTTTTTTTTTTTGAGACAGAGTTTCACTCTTGTTACCCAGGCTGGAGTGCAATGGCACGATCTCAGCTCACCGCAACCTCCGCCTCCTGGGTTCAGGCAATTCTCCTGCCTTAGCCTCCTGAGGAGCTGGGATTATAGGCACGCACCACCATGCCCAGCTAATGTTTTTGTATTTTTAGTAGAGACGGGGTTTCACCATGTTGACCAGGATGGTCTCGATCTCTTGACCTCGTGATCCACCCGCCTCGGCCTCCCAAAGTGCTGGGATTACAGGCTTGAGCCACCGCGCCCAGCCAAAGAAATTCTTAATGGTGGTGTTACCGGGTCAAAGGTTGTATACATTTTTTTGTTTACAGTTGACAATTCTTTCTCCTGTTGAAATATTTCACATACTGACCTATACATATAATCTTGTGCTAAAAACTTTCCAAATAAGTTATTTTGATGAAAATGGCGTCAAAATTAGGTGGTATCAGGTAGGGTTAGGTCAGACCCATAAAACATAAAATTCGAGGAAGCGTAACTCAGAAAGATCAACGTTGGTTTCTTCTCCTGTGATGGGAACAGTGTTACCTCTGCCGTTGGGTGGCAGCTCTAAGCTGTCATCTGTCCTCAGGGCGAGGCCTCATGCTTGGGTCCCCCTGATTCTGAACCTCACAGCCTGGACCAGGCTGCAGGAAGGAAGACCGCCTCCCCTCACCCAGGTCGGAGTGCAGTCACATAGCCACTCGGCCATGCCACAGGTGGGCATGCAGCCCAGGGATCTGTTGGTGAAGGGAGAGGAGGAAGGGTGTCGGGACATGGGGCAGCTGCTGCTGCGACGCTGATGCCCTTCAGGCTTCCCCAGTGAGGGGCGCGATGCCTGTCATAGCTCAGTACATTTTGTTTTCCCCATAGGCGGAAGATTTTCGCAAACTCTGGAAGACTCCACCTCGAGAGAAAGCAGGCTTCCTTCACAACATCAAGAAATCGGACCCAGAAAGAGGCTTTGAGAGAGTGGGGAGGTACTGAGAGGCTGAGCTGTGGTGCTGTGGGGCGCACTGTTGGTTATGCTCTGACTCATGATGGAAAATCACATTGCAGCTTCAAAGTGCCAATTTCTAGGAAGTCTTTTCAGGGAGAGCCGGTCCTTCTCATGAAGGTCCAGTTCATTGCAGATGCTGGGCACGTTGCAGTTTGTGGTGCGGAATTAGAGCATAATTACGCTGGTCCGGCCTCAGACCTGGAGCATGTCTGCAGCACTGCCTTTCCCTTTTCAGAGTGGCATTCCTTGTTCATTTGGGAACATGTTTCTAAGGAACCTTAATATTTTATAGAAGGTACCATGGAATGGTACAGTTTCTTTGGGAATAAAAGGTCCACAGTCACAAAGCTAAATTAGTTGTAATCAAATAAAGCTTTGTGGAATTGTTTAGAGTATTCTCTCAAAATATGTGCCCAGCATCAATTGTACAACTGGAACCCAGGAAGAACCTCTAGGCTTTCCTGTCCCTGGCCATGACTAGAGCCACAGGCAAGCCCACGGCGCTGAACAAGCCTGTCTGTGGGTGGAGGCAAACTGTGTGGCCTTCCAGCACGAGGTTGCTGGTGGGAGGGTCCATGTAGGCGGAGGTCTCCTTTTCGTCCTGCCACTGGTTCACTGCTCGTGAGAACTCTTCTGGCTCCTGCTTACCCTGTGAGGAGGAGTGCTGTTTCAGAAAATGCAAAGTATCATTTCAGCCGCAAATTCGGGAATAAAGTTACAACCATGATTGCAGACACTGCTTTGGTACTTGAAGCATTAGTGGCTGTTTTCTGTGTAGGTCTGAGTTTTATCTGGTTTCACAACTCTGGTTAATTTATCTGGTTAATTGTGTTTTATTTCTTACAGGGAGCTAGCTCATGAGCTGGGGTATCCCTGGGTTGAATACTGGGAATTTCTGGGCTGTTTTGTTGATCTGTCTTCCCAGGAAGGCCTGCAAAGACTGGAAGATTATCTTACTCAGCAGGAAATAGGCAAAAAGGCTCAACAAGAAACAGGAGAAAGGGAAGGCTGCCGAGATAAAGCCACCACGTCTGGTAAGCAAACACAGGCATGGCCGTGGCAGCTGGGACTGGGCCTCTGTGGCCAGGGTCTGACAGGAAGCGCACATCTGTCTGTGTTTTTAATGTAAAGGTGGGAACTGTTCCTCAGGTTAATTTTCAATGGGGTATACATCAGGGGGGATATATGAAAAATACGGCATCACTTGGAGCAGTATTACTATTTCTGCTTGTGGTTGCAATTCCCAAAATCTAATACTACTTCATTCTGTGCCATTTTCTCAAAACTCACAATAGGTGAACTACAGTGGCTGAGACTATAATATTGTAGGTTTGGTATAATTGTCAGGAAAAAGACAAGGAGGACTGCATACTAGAATATTGGTGTATATATCAGACACCAGGGCACAAAGCACTTCACAAGGTGTATATGAGATGACAGGACGCAAAGTGCTTCACAAGGAGTACGTGAGACGCCGGGGCGCAAAGCCCTTCGCGAGGCGCACGTGAGACGCCGGGGCGCAAAGCCCTTCGCGAGGCGCACGTGAGACGCCGGGGCGCAAAGCCCTTGGCGAGGCGTACGTGAGACGCCGGGGCGCAAAGCCCTTCGCGAGGTGTATGTGAGACGCCAGGGCGCAAAGTACTTTTAAAGCACAGACACAGTGAATAGAAATATCACGATGGAAGAGATTAACCACACAAAATCTAAAAGTGATTCATAAAAACGTGAATGGCCAGTGCGGTGGCTCACGCCTATAATCTCAGCACTTTGAGAGGCTAAGGCGGGTAGATTACAAGGTCAGGTGTTCAAGACCAGCCCCATCTCTACTAAAGATACAACAATTAGCCAGGCGCCAATAGTTCCAGGTACTTTGGAGGCTGTGGCAGGAGAATCGCTTAAACCTGGGAGATGGAGGTTGCAGTGAGCCGAGATCACACCCCTATGCCCCAGCCTGGGCGACAGTGCAAGAGTCTGTCTCCAAAGCAAACAAACAGAAAACAGCAACGAAGGCTGGGCATGGTGGCTCACACCTATAACCCCAGCACCTTGGGAGGCCAGTGTGGGTGGATTGCTGAAGCCCAGGAGTTCGAAAGCAGCCTGAGCAACATAGTGAGACTCCGTTTCTATTTATTAAAAGCAAAAATTTTCTAATAATTAGATATTTGAATTTGCTAAAATCAAAATTAAAGCAGATATTACATTTAAAGCTGTGTGTGTTTTTTTAAGGCCAAAATAGGACCATTATCCCATAAGACACTTCATTTATAAAACAAACTCCCTAGAATGATAGGGAAAAAAATGAGAATCGGGCCTTGCTGGGTTGTAGCTGACAGTGGTACATAACTAACTTCTGTAATGTGGCCTCATTTACCCTGTTGTCTTGTGACTATTTAAATTTTAATTAGTAAATATTAAAGTTGACTCATTTCCTAAGTAGCGCGAGCCACAGTTCACGTGTTCTGAATGCACCTGTGGCCAGGGTGACCGTTGTGAACACCAAACAGGGCAGTGCTGCTCTCAGGATCTCTCCTGTGTTGTGGTCTCAGAATAAAGTGCAGCAGTGCTATTTCATGGAGTTGTTCTGGACAGTCTTCCAGGACCCTGCGGGGTACTGTGACACTCGGAGCCCCTGGGGTCCCAGTAGATAGCAGATCTGGAAGGTGGCTGGAAGTTCACGGTGGTCATCTTGCCCATCACCCGGGCTGCCCTTGGCCTTTTCATTTCCCTGCCTTTGAAAGAGAAGCAGTCAGTCTGGCACCTTCCCCCACCCCTTCTGAAATAGGGTTTCACTGTGTGGCCCAGGCTGGAGAGTTGTGGCATGATCACAGCCCACTGCAGCCTCAACTTCCTGGGCTCAAGCCATCCGCCCACTTGAGCCTCCCAGATAGCTGAAACTGCAGGTGCACGCCACCGTGCCGGCTCATTTTTCTATTTTTTGTAGCGAATGGGGTTTCGCTGTGTTGCCCAGGTGGTCTTGAACTCCTGGGGTCCAGTAACCCTCCTGCTGTGGCCTCCCGGAGTGCTGGAATTATAGGCAAGAGCTGCTGCCCAGGCGCCAGCAGCCCGATTCTGTCTGCAGGATTCTGTTTGCCATTTTCCAGGGAGTTGTGCTGGTGGTTTTCCGTCTTGAGTCTGGAGAGGAGGTTCTGGATGTGGGGGTCGCTGCTGAGGTTCTGGATGTGGGGGTCGCTG